TATACATGTAAATACATTTAGGCTGTGCATATGATACTGTAATTTAAATGGATAATTTTAATTTGGCTAGTTGTCACAACTGTTTCCATTACATTCAGTGATATATGGGAATTATGATTTATGAGTAACATTAGTGCAAAAAACATTACTATATTTTTGTATGGTGTGGTGTGGGAGGAGGTCAATGGAGAGGTGACAAAATGAGTTACCACACTAGGTGATTCCAACCCTAGTGATGCCATTGACTCTTCCTGATGGTAAGGGTCAGTGGCATCACTAGGGTTGAAATCACCCAACTACTTAAGCAGGGCTATCATGTCACCCCTTAAGCTTCTCTTCTCCAGGCTAAACATACACAGCTCCCTAAGCCACTCCTCATAGGAGATGGTGGTTTCCAGATCTTTCCCCATTTTGGTTGCCTTCCTCTGGATACCTTCCAGCTTGTCAACATCCTTCATTTCATCTTATCTTGCTTGTCTTCTCAGGAGGCCTCTTTCTTATTTCATGTCCAAACATGGGGACTCAACATGGGGTTCAAGTTTCTTGTAGTTCAAGCAATGGAGGGGGTGGCTTTCCCCAGTATTTGGGGTTATATTGCCCTTCTGCTCATTGTCCAGGCAACCCCTTTCAAATAAGTTCAGTTTAATCAGAAACTCCAGGTTGTCTGTCTCACTGGGAAGCCATCTTCTTAACCCTTTATATGGGCAGATCAAGCTGGAAATCTCCCTGGAAACCAAGATGACAAAACTGAGGCTGTTGTATTTTGGGCACATCATGAGAAGGGAGAACTCATTGGATAAAACAATAATGCTAGGCAAGGTGGAGGGAAGCAGAAAGAGAGAAAAGCCACATGCTAGATGGATGGACTCTATTAAAGAGGACATGGGTATGGGCTTGCAGGAATTAAGCAGAGCAGTGGAGGATAGGAGGTCTTGGAGATCTCTCATCCATAGGGTCACCATGGGTCAAGATCCACTCGAGGGCAGTTAACAACGACGACGACAACAATATGGGCAGAATGATTACTTCCCTTGACTCTATGTGTCCTGCATGGCTCAGCAGAGAGTAGTGATTTTGCAAGTAGAAATTATATTATGCAGAGCCAATTACCATGTCTACCATAGAGACACTGAAGGCCCCCATTTCTGGCTAGTGATCCTTGGATAAGAGTCAAGGGAGGGATCACAGAAGTATTTGGGAATGTTCCTATAGCCACATGAAAAGTGATTACATCATCTGCTGAGGTCTGCAAGGAGTTCCAGAGGTCTCAGCAGTTGATGTAATCCTTTTGTAGCTGGCTGTGGAGACATCAGCAGACACGTCTGTGATACTTTCTTCTACTCTCCATCAGGCACAGAATGACAGTGGGAAGGAGCTTCAGTGGTTTTGCAATAGATCTGGGCAGGGAGCTTCGGTCACTACAGGGAGAAGATGGGAATGACAAGCTCCACAGTAATCAAAAATAGACATACCTCAAGCATAAGTTAACATGCCTGCATATGCCACTAAACATTTTGCCAGCCTGTATATGTTGAAAGATTCTATTTTTTCTACTAGTGCCTCATAGATCTCAGAGCTGGGGGAGAAAAAAAAACTTGGGTCTTATGTTGGGAGAAACTTTTCCCAAGAAAGTCATAAATTTGATATTTGCCCACAGCTACCACAATCCACAATTGACAGGTTTTACCTATATCACACCTTATTTTCTAGATGTAACAGTGCAGGGACTTCTTGAGAAATCCAATGTTCTCTGCCTAATGAAGAAGCCAGTTGAGCTTTGAAAGCTTTCATGCTGTATTTTCTGTATTTTGGTTGGCTAATAAAGGTCAACCCTCCATTCTTGCGGGGATCCATTCTGGACCTCCACCCCAAGAAGAGAGAGTTGTGTATATTCAAGCCCCATAGGGCTCATGCCCCATTTTGTGCCCCTCACTTTGCCACCCACAGATAGGCAAGGGATGCGTATATCATGTCTGTGAGAAGGGAGGGTCAACTGGTAATTCTTTTCTGGATTTTGTTGCACGATCCCCTAGCCGACTGAGCCAGTGCCCAAACTAGTTGGAGAATTCTGGATGTTTTCATCTGAAAAAGGTACTTTTTGAAGCTTTGACAGCTCATGATGTAGGGGAAGGATTGAAAAGTTTAACACTACAGTCCCACCAACTTCAAAGTCATGAGATATTTTACAGATTAACAAACAAACAAACAACAAACAAAAACCTGCAACTATAAACATAATTTTGTTCCTGGCTTTATTAACTACCGGATTTAATTGCTGGATTTTACACCTTCTCAAACACTGCCAAATAAAACTCAATTAAGCTTCAAAGCTGGCCCTGTTCTCCCTCCCTGTCCTCCTTTCCCTTTTTTGCCTGCAGCAATTAGCATTGCTGTGTTTTGTCTCCTCTGGGTTAATTCAATTTGTATCTTCTTGGGTAGGGAAGCTATCAAGCGAAGAGAAACAGTTCAAGAAGCCACACTGCAATTTCAGAGCACTGCCTCCTAGCATGTCTTACCCAAAGCCTTTCTTTCAGAAAGGTAGCCTAGGTGGAATTGGAGGGTCTCAGGCCCCCGCAAGACAAAACACAGCCGGAGAAAAAGGAAGGTCCCTAGCTTTTAATTTTTCATTGCCACAAAGTGGCTTTGTGAGTATTTCGGGAGGAAGGATCAGCAAGGTACCTTGACTTGGTCATTAAAACTTTCCTTATGTCAAAACAATCAGAGAATGGGGCAAGGGAAGGATGTGGTGCAATCTCTCCGTAGGTGCTGTGTCAGAACACATGGAGGCATTCGTGAGCTGTATACCAAGCAAGGAATGCTAAGTCCTTGCTTGGAAAGAAAGGGGAGACCAAGGAGTTGGGCGGAGAGAAGGGATGTGTCAATATTTATGAGGCCTTCTAACATCTCACTAAATCAGTTTGGGGAGTTGAATCCCAGACAAATTCAGCTTTGATTTCATTTTAAATAGAACCCCCTTCTTGATGTATTCATACGGGAAATGCAACCAGTGCATATTATATATTTATATCCAGAGAGTCTAATGCTAAGAATTGGGTTACGCTGACATAATAAGAGAGGGCTAAAATAAACCCCAGAACACTCTGCTTGCCAATCATCATGGGGGTTGCTCTGCAAACTCAACAAAAGTTGAATCCAGACCAAGGGTGTAGAGGACATCCAGGAGAAATTTCCTTTTGCTTGATAAAATGATTCTGTTTCTCTGAAAATTCCTCAGTCTAAAGAGCACTTCTGTATTCCCCTTGCTCTGTTACTTTAGGTGAAACCTGATGGCAACCCTCATTTTAAGTTTTATTTGTTCTGCCAGTTGCATGGAAACTCAATTCCTCAGACAAAAAGATCCAGTTTTAGTAAAAAGATCATGACATATTTCAGACCTTCCCCACAAAAGGATTAAAGATATTATAATGCTTATAGAATAATCATACATGTATAAAGGCACAAATATAAGAAAAACTTCAGAACACTATAAATAGATCAGGTAATGGTATTATAAAAAAGAAACATACAGTTCATAATGGGGTTTATATAATTACATACATATGATAAATAATTCCACAATATCACCAGTAATCACATGCATAATTTTGTGTAAAGATCAAACAGTAATACATACACACCTCAGATGGACAAGAATAACCAAAGATGATATAAAGAACCCTCAAATGGAATTGTAACAGAAATAAATAATGTTGATGTCCACTCCTGGGATACTAGTATTTAGTCCAGGAATTTCCAACAGGGGGCAATTTCTGAAAAGCTAGCAAACAGGGCATGTTTGACTTCTACTTGCCCCTAGTTCACAGATAGACTGTGATTAACCATGGTGGTTCAATTTGCTGTTGTCGTTGTTGTTAACCTGTCTTCTGGGCCTAAGAGTGCGTGACTTGCTCAAAGTCACACAGTGGATTTCCATGGCTGAGCAGGGAATTGAACCCTGATCTCCAGGGTCATAGTCCAATGCTTAAACCACTACGTCAAACTGGCTCTCAATCAAAGCATATATAAATTCAATTTTTAAGTGGGCTATAATCTCATTCATCATGAAACCAAAAAACTCTCTTTTCTCCCTCTTTCCCCATGGACCTCCTTCCACCTGTGCTCACATCATCCATTCTTACAAGACTGGCATTGGATCTCCCTTCTCATCTGTTCATTAACCACAAAGGAATGTGGGCAACAGTCTTAGCAGTTAACACACTACTACATATCCCATCATTTAGCAGCAGCAGTCATCTATAATCATTGTGAGTTAGTAAAGCTATGACAAGCAAATCCAACTCTCTTTACCATGTCAAGCAAGTTGAAGGACTGAGCTCCTGCTCCAGCCTCTTCATCCTCTGTCCTTCCCAACATTACATCCCATGCTTGCTTGTCCTTCTAGTTTGCCACTGCCACTGCTTCCCTTGTGCGCTCTCTCCCTTGTCTCAAGTGTTCTTCCACTTTTCCTTCCTTCCATATCCTCCATCTAGAGTTGCCATAATTCTTTTCCAGAAAACCGGGACAAAATGTAGGGGGAAATGTAAGATAAAATGTAGGACATTCAAGAAAAATGGAGGACACAGCCGACTAAAAGCCAAAAACATTAATTTTTTTTTAAAAAAATATAAATTCATGTTTCTCAGTCATGCTCGAAATGGAGGACATTTTGACATGCTTTGTGGGGTTTGTGTGTTGGACTAGGACTCTGGAGAGGGCAAGTCACACTCTCTCAGCCTCAGCAGAAGGCCATGGGAAACCCTGCATGGCCAAGTGCTTTGTAAAGTTCTTACCTGACACAGAAGGACACTGAGTATGATAAGAGGGATGGAGAACAAAATTTGTGAGGCAAGCTTGAAGGAGCTGGGCATGTTCAGCCTGGATCTTCCTAGAGCTCAGCTGGCTGGCTGAAGTCCTACGCAGCCGCGGGAGGAAGACCTTCCCTCCCTAGATGTCTTTGGGGCAGGGCTTGCTTGGCCGACCTGTGCAGCTGCACTTCTAAGAGCAGCCTTTTGTCACCCCAAAAGGAGCGTCATTTTGCCACTCATTTTGGGCGGCAAAAAGGAGGATCAGGGCTGTGGTGCATGGATGCTGTGGCCCCGATCCACCACTCCTGGGGTAGCCCAGAGCTGCCCCTTGTTGGCCATCTACATTGGCCCCTAGAGGGGCAGAAGGTTGTGGAATGGAGGTAGGGTTGCCATATCCTGATTTTTGCTGGGACATTCTTGGTTTTTAAGGGTCTTTGGGAAGTCTCACCTGGTTTCGGGATCATGTCCTGGCAAGGGCAAGGCCTCCCTGACCCTGGCGCAGCTGTGCAGGGCCTTAACCAGCCAGCCAGGCAAGCCCCAAAGACATCCATGGTGAGGTTCTTTTACATCCCTTTGGCACGTGTGCGCATGCTGTGCCAAGAGGGCACCCTGATGCTGCGTGCCATGTGGATGGGTGCGCAGCATCGGGGAAGAGTCAGGGCTATTGGTGTGCGGTTGTCCTGCCCCAACTCCACCCCCAGGCCGGCCTAAACTGCTGGTCCGCATCGGTCCTAGGTCTTACTCCATTCTTTCCAACCTCCTCTTCCTCCCTTCTCTTTCCAGCCTGCCTCTTCTGCCCCCTCTCCTAGTCTGTTGCTGATCTCCCCCTCCTAGTTTCTTGTCTGAGAGTGGGGCTTTGCAGAAGGCTACACACTCCAAAGTTACCCCCACTACACACCCCATTAGAAGATTTTT